AACGAACGACACACGCGCTCGACCCAACTGTCCGTCTCTATCTCTGTCTGCAATTCAACTGCATTCCATTGTTGGCGCACTTATATACAAGAATAGAAGGCGCCTAGCAAATACTGGATTATTCGTGATGTTTCCCGATCTTTCTAGAACGCATTACGTGTTACCAGCGTCACGTGACTTCCGCTGTCGTAACAATATAAAATGACATACGCGATTATTGAATAAGACTATTCATGCGCCTCTCTATTACAAGAGTAACAGTTGAGAAAAAACAATCTTCTGTTGTGATATTAAGGTGCTGACGACGTCCCAGCTGAGAAACACTTTTCTCTTTTATTGCTAATATATACACTGAAGCAATATTTTTCGTTAGCAAGTTGAATTCTCAACTCGAAAAATCGTTTTAAGTATTCATGAAAGCATAAAATAGCCTCAAATCCACTAATATTTTTGTTCTCCATCTTCAGGTGTAAATATCTCTTTAATGAATGGTTTCTCGCAGTTGGAGATGCTTTTCATTATGTACGGTTAAAAAAAAAAGATATGTTTTGCTGAAACATTTATCATTATCATGGTAAAAACAAAAGTTTATCTGTCATGTTCAAGCATTAAATGTATGTGTATTTACCATTATCATGGTAAAAACAAACGTTTATCTGTCATGTTCAAGCATTAAGTGTGCTCCCCAGTGGCACAGCGGTATGTCTGCGGACTTGCAACGCTAGAAAACGGGTTTCGATACCCGTTGTGGGCAGAGCACAGATAGCCCTTGTGCAGCTTTGTGCATAATTAAAAACAAAAAAATTGTAAAAACAAAAGTTTACCTGTCATGTTCAAGCATTAAGTGTGCCCCCCAGTGGCACAGCGGTATGTCTGCGGACTTACAACGCTAGAAACCGGGTTTCAGTACCCGCTGTGGGTAGAGCACAGATAGCCCTTATGCAGCTTTGTGCATAATTAAAACCAAACAACAAGCATTAAATGTATGTGTATTTCTCTTCTGCATACACATGCTTTCTTAAATGCTAACTATGATATTTAGGATCTCCGAAGACGAGTCGTGATTAATTGTTTAGTTTTTTATGACTCCATGATTAAGTTTTAGATCTCATAGATACATTGTATGTAAAAATATATGTTAATCTTAACACGTTAATAGCCCTTCGATAACCACAGCTACAAGAAGCGATGCTGGTGTAACTCTCATTAAGCATACTCCCCCTTTTAAGTATAATGCACATAGTTCTATAGTCTGGAATAGAAAGTAGAGTATACATGTTAGTCTGGAATAGAAAGTAGAGTATACATGTTAGTCTGGAATAGAAAGTAGAGTATACATGTTAGTCTGGAATAGAAAGTAGAGTATACATGTTAGTCTGGAATAGAAAGTAGAGTATACATGTATATATAAATTACTTTCGTTAAAGAAATGGAAAAGTATATTATGTTCATCAAATAAAATGTTACATTCGAAGACATTTGAAAGCCGAGACTAAAATTCAAAATATCAAAGTGTTTGAACTGTTTTCTTTAGTAATTTAGTACATACTCGAAACGCATGAGGACTGGTTAAGTTGAGAATATTTATGTTAGTTATTACTGCTTAGCTTTTGAATCGCCCGAAAATGGAGAGAGGATTAAAAACATCACATGCCTGTTAATAAATGTGTTGAATACATTCCGGTTCTTCGCAGCCTCATCAGTTTGAATTATTATTCTGCACTTTTGTGTAATTTCCGCTTCCTTTTCATTGTTGCATGCCCGACGTATATCATTTATTTTCGTTTCGACAGGTGTTTTAGGTTGTATTTGCCCTCATGTTTGGTACATGTTTGGTCAAATTGGAACACCATACGCATATATCCACTCAATCAACCAATAACAAACGTTATAGGCTACATGTACTGTTAACATCTTATACGTCGGTGTGTTTGATAGTTAATAAAATAGAGAAAAACTACGAACGTAAATATATATAGTACAACCGGGCGTTAGTGCATGTATACTTGGATAAAACAGGAGAGCAAAACCTAAGCACTTAAATACCTGGTAAGATTAAAAATGAATCATAAAATTACATCACTATTTATAGTCCTTTTTTTATTCTAATATAATTAAGCTATTTTGTCGCGTAGGAATCAGAAATGCTACCAAAAATATATTTTTAAAGTAAATATTTTTACGCTAAACGTATTTTTGTGTGATGTGATCCTTTATTTGTCATTTCTGTTCATCGAAATCTCTTCGGCCACTTATTAAAAATGTGAGTTAAATTCAAGTTTCAAAGAATTACTTGATTAAAAAAATCCTAAGTTTATGTACTTCTAATCATTACCAGATTTTTCACAATTTTTAACTTGTAAAAAAATCCTGGACATTTTTCGAAAATGTTTTGGTGAATCCAAAATATTAAATATCGTTTCTCTTAATACCATTCAACGCTATTTCCAACAACAGTTTGATTTTTTTAAAGTTCTCATCAGACCAGATTTTGATGTTTATTTTCCTAAAACTAATAAAATGATGAATTTTTCACTTTTTTCTGAACTGATCTGGTTAAGTTACGGCTTTGGTTATGGATAGGTAATCTTTCTTTCATATGGACAATATCACTCGCCTAAGGCATGCTCCAATATACTAATTATTCAATGTATCTAAATTTGCATGTTTGTTCACGCTCGTTTGAGGGTTTATAAAGCTAAAAACTGGGATTCGATCTCTGCGCAGATACCTTATTATGCAACTTTGCACGAAAAACAAATCTTTACCCCAAAAATACTATTTTTTTTATAAACATATCTCGCCTAATGGCTTTTTCAGGAACTTGATACATTGATAGTTTTATAACTTTATCGTATGCTTAAAAATGCTTTGTATGTTCAAACGCAGATACGCATATACCCTCTTTCATAAAGTGTGCGTGCACATAAAATTATTTTTTATTTAACCAGGATGTCGTTGAAAATTTTGTTTGGATATGAAGACAGGATCATTCAGCTGAAAATATCAAAATTAGTTTAATAATTTACTTTTCTTTATTATAAGAAAATTTTTTATTGGATCCACTACGAGATGGCTGCAAATTAATGTGAATGTAAATTAATGTAAATTTAAGGATACCAGTATCACGTGGTCGTTCGTTCAAATAATTTGAAGATTTTGTTTAATAAAGCCAGTGACGAACTAAAACTTTGCTTGTAATATATATACAAGCAACAACATAACATGCTTTAGTAAGCTGCGATCGCTATTTATCTATGTTATAAACAAATGTAAAAAATGGATTTTATAAATTGCTAGATAAGTATTACGTAAATCCATATTATTCAAAAAACTCTTTATACCAGTGCTTCTCAAACTGGCGTGACACGATATTGGAAAGGGGTGAGTGTGAGAAGCTTTAGGAAAATGTTTCGTCTTTCTTTTGTTCTTTTTTAAGCTAAGTTTATTGTTGTCATCATTGGCTATGTGTATGTATGTATGTGTGTGTGTGTGTGTTTAAGTGAGTTTAACATGTTTTTTCTTGTTTTTTAGGGGGGGGGATAAAAAGTATTACAGAGAAGAAACGGTTGACGGTACCGAAAAAGTTTTTCATTTATACGCTGAATATACGATAACCTAACCATTCTTTAAATGTTTTACAGCTGAAAAATGTGTGTATTTTTCAATACATCTAAAATGCGGCTATTTTTTGTCATATGTGGAATTAGCAGTTTTGTGTTTCTGTGGATATTTCACTTCTTCAAATTTTCGTCTAGTTTTGTGGAACTGAAATTCAATCGAGTTTTTGAAGACTCGAATTTTGTTCATGCTGTTCAGCTTGAAGCTAGACAGTTTTTCTCCAAAAACGTTCAACATCATGACGCGGAAAAGTACGCTGTTTGTCCAACTGTTTCGACTGAAATTGAAGTTGTGATGCAATCCCTTAGAGTTATAATTCCTGAAGTAAACTTGAAAAAGGGAAATGATTATAAAACTATATTTCTCTGGACAAAATATTTCAATTCCAATTACAGTGAAGACTTCTACTTTTTTCATCCTGGTAACGAAACATTCGTTCGCTATGGCTGTAATAACTTGTGTGAAGTGACTCGGGATCAAAGGCTGATTTCATCTGTTGATGCTGTATTGTTTCATGCTCGGGATTTGAACGTGAGAGTACTACCTAAAATTAGAAAACCACATCAAAGATGGATTTTGTATGGACTAGAATCGCCCAGCTTTACCAATCTTCCATGGAAGAGTATTAATGGGTTATTTAACTGGACAATGACGTATAGAGAAGACTCGGATATTCAAGCGAAGTATGGTTATACATGCAAAAAATCACACTTGGAAAAAAATGAAATTCGAGATTATTTGAAAGTAAAATCTAGAGAAGTTGTTTGGTTTGTTAGTAACTGTCACACGCCAAGCAAAAGAGAAAAATATGTTCGTGAATTAGCAAAATTTATTTCGGTGGACATTTATGGAAAATGTGGACAAAAAAAATGTGTACCAGCTCAGTCATCTAACTGCTACAAAAACACCTTAAATAAATATAAGTTTTATTTGTCGTTTGAGAATTCCATGTGTAAAGATTACGTAACCGAAAAATTCTTCAATATTTTGAATTACGATATAATTCCGATAACATTCGGTGGAGCAAAGTACGAAAATATCATTCCTGCTAATTCATTCATCAATGCGTTAAATTTTCCAGACCCCAGAGATCTCGCGAAGTTATTGAAGGAGACTGGTTCTAATGGAACTCTGTATAACGAATTCTTTCGGTGGAAAACGAATTATAAAGTGTATTTACACCGTTGGATGTGTGAACTGTGTGATAAACTTCACGAAGATACGATGCCTACTGTCCGATATAACCTCGAAGAATGGTTTGTGAAAGAAGCTAAATGTTTAATATGGAATTCCACGATAAAGAAGTTTTTGCCTTAAGTGTTTCGAATTTCTACTTTCAAAAATTGTATTAATTTATCTACTTTGTAAGACGTGAGAATTTCTACATAAAATGCATTGAACTTGAATCGTATTTGTTACCATTTTCTGTACTGTATATTGTTGTAAATGTAGTTTGTTTTATTTGGTGGAACAAAAAAGTAAATTAGATTTGATCGATGGCAGATTCACATAAGTTGGATTTGTTTACTGTAACAAATTATATGTGAACCTTTTGAAATATGTTGCACAACTGTTAATTTATATATTTTATACATATATATATGTGTGTGTGTGTGTGTGTGTGTGTGGCTGTGTATATAAACAAAGCTTTATTGTCCGACATCTGCCAAATCTGAAGTGTATCAAATAGGCGAAAATACCGTTTACGAAAGCATTTCAATTACGATATTTTACAGGAAAAGCTTTGGCACCTTTTTAATGTTCTATAACAATAGAAGTATTAACTAATAATAAATGTTGTAAATAAAACTGTAAACTGCATAAAAACATAAATACAATATTTTAAATGTGAATCACAGTACAAGAGCCACTAAACTAAAATGAGCATTTGTATTTGGAAATATTGAAACTTCCAGTGACAAAAGCTTTCCGAATACGAAAAGGCCGGATAACAAAGCTTTTGCTGTGTACATTTTTGTATTTTTGACCCAGATGTTTAAATGTATCTATAACGTGTATAGACTTGCGCTTTGTTGGAAAAGAAAACATACTGGGATTAAGTGTTCTAATACTTGTCTACTTATTTAGGTGCAGATTTTTCTCAGTTGTCTTTTTTTTTTGTTCTTGCTCTTGTTTAAATTTAATCGTTACGCTACAAAACAAATTAATACTTAAAACTAGAGAAGGCAGCTAGTCAACATCACATGCCGCCAACTCTTGGACTACTCTTTTACCTACGAATAGTGAGATTGACCATCATATTATAACGTTTCCACGGCTAAAGGGGGGGGGAGCGTTTTCGTGGATGGGTTGCGATCCCGCGACACGCATACTGCGAGTCAAGTGCCCTAACCAATAGGTTATGCCACACCCAAGCTTTGTTTTAGCGCAATGGAAAATTTGCGCTTTGTACACCGAGGGGATTTGAACCCCCGATTTTAGTGTTGCAAGTCCGTGAACGTACCGCTAACGTGTAACAAGAACTGATCTGAAAATAACTGAATAACGTGAGATTATTAAAGATCGTATCTATTCAAAAATACAACTGAGTTTTTAAGAAAATAATTATTCTAAAATCATAATTACATTAAATGTTTATAGACGAAGTTTTAATGGGATGTGTAAATGAATTGGTTCATAAATTGTAATATGTTAAGAGCATAAATGTTATTCTGTATATTTGTAAAGAAGAGTGCACCGGGGGGTGTTAATTCTTCGTATGGTGTGATGTAGTTTCAATGAACTATTTATTGGTAAGATAACAAATACAAAACACTCGACTGGATTTACTACAGTGTCAACGTGATTGACACGTTACGAACCACATCTTCCCAGTTACCAAAATGGGTGTTGAATTAAATTTGTCTCTAATTAACAGTGGCACCTGGCGAGTAAAGTACAATGCTCGATAACTTTGCTTATGCGCCATTTTAACAATTACACTAAAGGATTTAGGGTTCATTTCTTGAACATCTAAACTACATACACCATGGCGTCCACAGAAATACTTACGGGGGGGGGGGCAAAATGTATGTAGGAGATCAGCTTTTACAGTGTAAGTCTACAGACTAAATTAATGCGTGTTGTGTGTGCTTAAACGCAAACTCAAATTTACAGTTTTAATACAAATTACTAAAAATATTTAGTTTAACTACAATGTTAAGTTTAAATCATAATACGTGAAATTTATTTGTGAAAAGTAAGGTGTGCAAATGCCCTCTTTTGCCCCTTCGTGCAGGCGCCCATGGTATACACTTAGAAATGAGCGCTAATTTATCGTGGAAAATGTATGATTCATCAAACTGCAGCTGTTGGAAGTGGGCAATGAAACACCTTTTGCCCTTTTTTAATTACTGTTAAATAAATTACAATACAATTTTTTAAACTAAATGCCTAAACTTTTACAACAGATATCAGAAATCACCCCTAAAACACAGTTTTCATTGGTCAAAGTACGCACGTGATCGAGGAAGCAAGTACAGACTCAAGTTTAAACTTTCGTTTCGTATAATAGTGGTTGTGTTCCTTTTTCAATTTCTCTTCGGTAGTCAACTTTTTTAAAACAAAAGACTTTATTAACAAAACAAAGCTTAGAATGTTAATATATATATATATATTACCACTTTAGACACGCTGAGTTTTAGCAGTTAGTTGAAAACTGAAAACTTTTCTTTCTTTAAATTAATATTTTGAAACAACGTGACAGAATTGTGTGTGCAACGTTATTGACCTACAACAGAAATTTGCAAAGTTATATGTATTTTTATCAATAATTAGTATTTAGGATTTCTTTCCCAAAACCAAAAATGCAGTTGCTGTAAAGCCTGATTGGTAAATAATACCGATTGCCCTTAAGTCGATTTCCGGCAAGGAAAAGAGATCAAAACTATCAAATGTACTGGTAAACTCTGGCCACTAAATATAGCCAGTTGCTCTTAGTAAGCTAATTCGAGCATAATAATTGTGGAAACTACACTTCATTGGTTTCTGGAAATGACACTCGGGGTGGAACACACAACCAATATTATATTTCGTACGACTGAAAGCGCAACTTAATGATAAATGTGTAACATGAAATGACATTGGTGAATCTGTACTCCTGAATACCGAGTCAGTATAGGACGTGGATCATCATTCACATTCATACAGGTTTTTGGTGAGAACCGAGTTTTCATCACACCCGACCACCAAGGTTCCTGCTGTTTATTGATTATTTGGCTTTCTGAAGATAAGTACATCGCCAATGTCCAGCAGTCAGTCCTCAACTGATGGTTAGCATTACGAAATAGCAGCGACAGATGTCTGAGGAGGTGATATGGACATAATAACTGATTATGTTGGTGGCAACATTGAATAGTTGTTGTGGTGGCGCTTCTATCACAAGTAGGAATATTGTATTATGTCCGTGTAGTACGCGGGTTTGCCGTAGAGACTGTTCCAAATCTCCATATTGCTTTGTATTTTGCCTGATAGTACACTGTTCACCCTCGAGACTGTTAGTAATACCTGTATTGCCTTGTATTTTGCCTGTATAGTATACTGTTCACTCGACAGACTGTTTGAAATATCTATATTACCTTGTATTATGCCTGTATAGTACACGATTCGCTCGACAGATTGTTTCAATTACCTATATTACCTTTTATTTTACCTATACAATACACGGTTCGTTTGATAGACTATACTCATAACAAATTTGTTAGTTGTTTTGAGATAACAGAAAAGTTTTGATTGAAAGGGTTTGTGACTTCAATAATTAATAGCGAGAGAAGCGAATCGAAAATATTTATCATATTATAACTTATTTCGAATAGGAAAGTATAGAGTGTACAGTCATGTCTGAAAGAAATTCGAAAGATCCACACATTTTGGAGGCACGATCTATTTTTGACAAAATGAGCTGAACGGTTCTTCGTGGGTGTTAATGAAATATACTGGTCGCACTCATATTTTTAGAATACTCTTATATATCTTTGTTAACGACAAATTGGGTTTCTTACATTGATATCATAGTTAATATAAACATTTAATGTTAGAATAAGAGTACTCTATTTATAGTTAATATTGTGGCTTTGATTGTGAAACGGTACAGTGCCCTCTTTATTGGTAGACTACTTTTTCCTCTTTCTAAAAAGTAGTGTTAGTGTTTCAATGAAAGCTAAATCACTTGTAATATCAATCGCCAAATTGAAAAAGCCTAAGGTTTTGTAGCATGCATTATTTCCACACTAGATATCGTTTTGTTTTTCCTGTATGTGTTTAATTTCTGATTCTTAACCTTTGAAACTTCCGCATGGTTTGTGCACGTATTTCAATTTGGTGCCAATTTTATTTTTATAGATTTCTGTAAATGTTTAAGAAAAGCCACTCGCAAAAGTATGTTACGTGTACGCAGAAGATGGTTTTACACAAGGTATTTTATTTTTTGTAATTTTACTGCATCATTACAAAACTGAGTCAGCCTCTTCAAAATAATGAATTTTACTTTGCTGCAAAAACTATCCCGTGTTCAATTTGGTACGCTTAAAAATACAGTTGTGTAATTTAGTTTATATTCTTTTCTCTCCATTTTTCTTGAAGACCCCTACACAATAGATCTTGATACGCACTCCAAGGATCATGTTAATAGTGTACTTCTTCCATTCTGTGCTCTTAACATCCCCTTCCCTCAGTGGTTTGTCCTCTGGTGGGAAGCGATAAATCTTCGGATTTACAACACTAGAATCGGTGGTTCGATTCTCCTCGGTGGACACAGCGGATAGCCCGACGTGGGTTTGCTATAAGAAAATACACACACCCTCAGTGGTTCAATATTAATTCTGCGTGCTTATCACGCTAAAACTAGGGTTTCGATACTCGTGTTGAGCAGATCACGGATAGCCTATTGTGTAGCTTTGCGCTTAATAACAAACCAATTGTACTATCATACGCCATGGTTTGTGCTAACAATTTTTATACTGTGTGTTAGACGATGTGAGTGTAGGTAGTGTTTCAATAACTGAGTGGCCCATCGGGCAAATCCCGCTATATTTCGGTGTCCTCTTTTGGAATGTGTAATGTTTCCTATGTTCACTTGGTGTTTCATTCTGTCGTATTTTTGCAACGCCACTATTATTCTACAGTAAATCTATGCATCTATTAACCTTTAATACATAAAATCGATGATCTTAAAAGCTATGCATGAGTATGAAAGGTCAGCACGTGTGCACAACAACAAACGGTTGCCTAACAACCAAAGAAGTCACAACAGAGGCCTCTTGCCAAACGTGTTGAAAACGTAAAATATGTCTAATAATTCTTGGAGACGGCTTAAATGG